CCAGTTATCACTTTACAGTTAGAAATGTAACAGCAGGCTGGTTTCACAAAGCTATTTTAGTCTGTTGTATTTAATTAATCCAGCCTTAGTTGCAAGTTGGACGGCTTCACAAAAATAAATACTAAGTTATTCTAAGCCTAAACATGGGCCACACTACACTCCTAATTGAAAATACCCTTGCTACTGTATTTTTCTCAGAAGAAATACAATACATCTTCTGCTGGACTGAAGGGAGTTGAGCAACTTGATGCGGTTGCCTGGTCAGCCGTGTTTTTTCTTTTTTTTATTTGGAAAAAAGGCTTAATTTGCCCTGAAATCAGTCATACTTAAGACTAAACAATTGTGCAACAGTACATCTACCTGAAGTCTGACTTTTATTTAGACCAAAGCCACAGTAAAAGTCTTTCTTTGTGAACCTGGCCCTTGCAAAAGTCCCAAATAGAAGATAATGGTAGATGCTAGTAGTGGAGGAAAAATCACAAAGTCACAAAATAGACTCCCTGATGTCAGTAACACAGCAGCACCTATCTAAAGTCTGCTAACATTAGCCACCGCCAGCTACACTAAGTAAGACTGTAGCACCAAATGTCTATGTGTTATTGAGTCTTTTTTAAACAATGCATGGCCTTTAAAAACATCTGTAAATCATACCACAGATAACTGAAACCCATGTAAACATTGGTGAACTGTAAAAATTTGGGCAGAGGTTAGAAAGATATAAGAAGGTACTTTTGTGACTAGGATTTCAAGTATGGATTATTTATTTAGTTTTAAAAATTAAACTATAATCCTATCCTCACAGATATCTAAGGAGAGAAGTGAAATTCAGGGACAACAGGGGATCATGAGGTTCTTTAAATTTCAACACATATATATGATGTTATTGAACACATGATAGCCCAGATAAGGAGTCACAACAAAGGAAACCACTTTGTGTCCAAGAGGACACAAAGACACTTCTGGACTTGGAAGTCTTTCTTGTAAGTCTCAGTGACTCATCAGCTTCCTATGGTGAAAAAGTGTAAAGCAGAAACCTGAGGCATGGAAAGAAACAGAGACTGAGTGATTCAGTGAAAGTGAATGACTGTCCTACCCATCACTGAAGGGGGAGAGGATGAAAAAAGGAGCAGGAAAGGACGGAAAGAGGGGGAAATGACTGGCGACTGTGTGGGAAGAGAGAGAGAGGAGGGGCTTAAAAAGTATGAACTTGTGTATGATTTAGCTGCAGGAAGCATTAAGAAGGGAAAAGCCTGCAAACAGGACGTGGTATACTCAGTCTTTTAGGCTTTACTGGGGACTGAGTTGCCTTATGGCTTCTCCGATGGTGACTTTTTCCACCGGGTCACGCTTTTCTAGTGCGCTCCTTCGCTCCTGAGACTTGTCTTCTCAATAAAATTCGGAGGATTGAGCTTGAACCCGTGCTGTTTTTTTCTCTCTCCACTGTGCGTAATTTCTATCCAGGATCGAAAAACGGCGATCATCACAACAACACGAGGACGAGGGATCACGACAGAAATAAGACGAAGTGGGGGAAAATGAAAGCCGTTTGGGGTTTCTGCTTGGTCTTCCTCATGCTGCACACTCCCGGCGTGCTGTCCTTGTCCACACGTAAGTTGCACATAGATGTCCATCGATGCGCAAAGTTATGGTCTTGTTGGGTTTTGGTTGAGGTAGCTTTTTGGTCCACCGAGATCAGCTTGTGTCACCCAATGTGTAGTGTGACACTCTCCTGCTCGGGTATGCATGATATCAAACATTAAACTGGCACAAAAGTGGGGTTTAACAGTAGTACGACAAATTTTGAAAGGCAATGCAAACGCATATTACATAAAAACTACAAGCCTTGATCAAATATTACACGGAAATTATTGTGATATTAAAGAGGATAAAACACTGAAAGGTCCCCCCAGTACAGAGGACCATAACAGGAGGATAACAGTAACATAAGATTATGTAAACCGTATTTAGGAATTACAGTGATCGTTAACTTGGTTATAGTTATTTAAAATATGTTCGCAATACCAGATAACTCCACAGATTCTTTCCTTAGTTGGCTTACATAATAATGGCTCACTTGCTCAGGGCTTAGTGGATCCACTCTGGTTGATGTGTGGAAAGCACAATTAAACAGTGCAAATGCCACTTTGTGCACTTGACAGATCCTGTTATCAATGTGACCTGCTGGAGTACATCGGTTGTGTCCCTGCTGAGACAACTCATCTCCCAGGGGGCTGAATTTCAACAAGTCAGACCATAATTCGTTTAACACATGGAGAGCATGGGGGCTTTGCCGCAACAAAACAGTGACATCATTTGCTCAGGTTTTGGAGAAGGTTAACCGGCAGCTTAATGCACAGTAACATAAATAAATCAAAGTTATGTCCGCTTCCTCGGTTAAGTGGCTGGATTAGATTTTATGATGAGCTCACTGGCAAAGAATAGCTCCTCAGAGAGGACCTCCTGTTATTCATCCTGTTTGAAAGGCACTAATAAAAGACAGTATAGTTGTAGAGGCTTATAGGAGACAATGAGTCTTGATCATAAGCTGCACTGCTGTTTATTATAGAGCCTAATTGGTCTTTACTGTTTTATTCACTGTAATAAAGGATGGTGTTTCTCCTTTACAGATGCCACTGAAATGAGACAGTTTATATGTTGAATTTTCTTACAAACACATAATTAGCTTTTAGTGCTGCTCATAATCACCTAAGGTTTTAGTTTTAAGATGTCCTCTTAGCATATAAAGAGGCATTTATGTTGGAGGTGATTTAATTTATTACCCCATACTTGACTCCAAACTACAGAGTGCAAAAAAAAAACAGCCTAATAACCTGAAATTAACTTCTCATGTGTTACATTTCCCATTTCTTTTGCCTGTACTTGCCCTAATTCGATTTGATGTTAGACAAGATAATCTCTCCTCTGTTCAGATCAGAGCATCAGTTAAATACATAAAATTTGAATCTATTAGAAAACATCCTCCGCTGTCTCCTCAATCTCTTTTCAGCTGGCGTTTCATGGCTCATTGTCACTAAATGTTGCGTGACTTCTTCTACTTGGCTCGTCCACACCGGCCCCTCAAAATGTTCCACATGTACATCTATTGTACAGCAGACAGAGCAAAGTATTGGCTTTCTTTGAACTCCTGCATGGATGAGTGAAGAATAAATAGATCTTTAGAAACAGGAGGGGATGTCATGTTTTGAAAACTGACAGTATAAAGAAAAGCATTTTCACTCCGCCATAGACTTAAAAATCACTTAATGGAACCCTCCTATTCTTGCCGAAACAAAAATTAAACCTGTTCCTTGCTTTCCGCAGGGTTAAATCCATCCCCTGCCCTGATCACAGTTGCGCTTCATGTAGTCTCAGCCTCTCCAAACAAATAACAATTTACAGGCCATTTCCTCCAGAGAGCATTTCAAGCATAGACAATAAACAGCAGTAATTATGTCTATTGCTGTAGCATTTTAACGGTGAAGGAAGGGATGTGAGAGGGCTTCACACCCTGCTCCAGGGCAATGTCCTGTCCGCAGCACTATGACTGCATAAACACTGATTGTTATTCAGCTGGATCAGCATATTATTGGCTAATCACAGCCCCTTTAGTCCACCGTATCCGGTGACAAAGACATCCAGCGTCTGTGCTTGTGTTTGTTTGCATTTGTGTGCGTGCGTAAATGTGTGGAAGTGTTGTGTCAAAGCTCAAGTTTGGGTTATGATGTTAATAATATCACTGCGGAGTTACAGTCGAATTAACTTCTTCAAAGGCGGCTCCTTCATAAAGGACCACACAATGTCTGTCAGCATAAGGTGGCTGGCAACTGAATAGATGTGGCCCCGGGCACAGATTTGTAGTGTCCTGGCAAAGTGTTGATGTTCTCACTCATTCAGTCATTTCAGCATAGAAATCATCTTACATACAAATTTTGGTAGTGCCGTCTACTTGGACTTTTTTTTTTTTTTACCTAATCTGATCTGAAGAAAGTAAACCTCTCTTCTCTTTGTCTTTCTGGTGCTTTGTTCTCCACTATTCACTTGTTAGGTTTTATAAGCCACAAATTTTTCAAGAAGACTGTGATCAAGATGTGTTTTGCGAGACAGCCCAAGAGAACAATTTACATACACAACGATAGAGTCACACAAAGCAACTGTCACACAGGTAGTAATTAAAACATTCACAAATATCACAAAATAATCTGTAAGTAGATGTTTCTCTGAAGAGTATCTCTAACTACTACTTTGTGTTACAGTTTTCCATACGTGTGGTTGTTGTTTGATATTCAGCTTTGAAGTATGATAACAAATGAGCATTTATTTATTTAGCAGCTTTAATTAGGAGTTTACTGACAGTTTTAAGGGATTAAAAACTGAAAACCACAGAAACATAAGCAAGCAGTTATACATAATAACTTTAAGACAAGTGAGAGAGACATATTTAGACAAGATGTCATGAAAAACAGCAAGGAAAGATGGAAACAAACACAACTAACGGCATCCGTGTTCACTTTGTCCTTACTGTTCATCTCCTGAATTTGACGATCCAACAACATAGTTTATGAATGCAGTAATTTGGATGGTAAATCTCGAACAGTCTTTCAAACTCCAGTTCTCCAGTTTCTAGCGGGTTTCTGTCAACATTTCTAATATTTCTGTTCAATATGACTCAAGCCAAACTCAAGATAACCCTGATGACATTACTGTGACATTATCTACTTTGCGCCAATCACCTTTGAACACAGTCGTGTCATTAACTGCCTTGGTCTATCTGCTCCTGCCATTCCCCCAGATGTAGCACTCATCTACCCCCAGGACCCCGTCCTTCGCATGGGGTCCAACCTGACCGCTAGTTGCTGGGTCCACCCCGACCTCGGCGTCCACGCTAGCTCTTTGTTTTGGACACTCAACGGTCAACAGCTGCCAAGCTCCCTCTACAGGGTGCTGAGCCCGACTAACCTTAGTGTGACGCTGGCTGGACTCAACGCCTCCAAGCAAACATCTGGAGACAACCTGGTTTGTCACAACCACAAGGGACACATCTTGGCTGGCTCCTGCCTCTACGTCGGGAGTAAGTTGAAGTTTGCCAATAGCTGAAATGCTGGTCATGTAGAAATGTGTTGTTTCTTAATTATTCTATTTAGGTGTCTGTACTGTGTAACCATTTGAATTTTTTGGGGGGGGATGTGCCTGCTTTTGCCTCTCTGCTTCACTGTGAGGAGATGTTGAACTAAAGGCTTGTTACATTAAAAACAAAGTGCAAGAGAGGGCTGGAGAGGAAATGGACTAAAGAGAAACAACAAGGAAGTAGTGGGCAGATTTTAAGTGTCCCTGCACAGTTGTGGCCGTATTTTATGTGCAATAATCCTGCCTTCAGACCCAGTGAGAGGCCTCCATGAGTGTGTGTCACTGTGTGACGCTTTGACCAGCTGTGTGGTCCATTATTCACACTATCACTCATAGGGCACGGGTCTGACATTTTAAAGAGAGAGACATGCACGTTTGTTCTTCTATACTTATGGGGACCAGCATTTACATAATGCATTCTCTCGTTCCTAATTTTATGGTTGTGTTTTTTTTTTTTGAGTGAACTTAATTTGGTGGCCCAGTAATAAGCTTGGAGGAACCTTATTGTCCTTCCCATCAAGAAATAGTTTAACATTTGGGCAAATATGTTTACTTGCTTTCTTGCCAAGAGCTAGATGAGAAAATCGGTTCCACGTTCACATCTGTACAGTAAATATGTCGCGGGAGTCAGCCGCATGTGCGCTGAGCTTAACATAAAAATGAGGAGACTTATAAGACTTCTTATAGTCTTGTTATCGCCAACCAGCAGTAACTCTACAAAGTCAGTGGTCCCAGCCCAGAAATAGTCCGTGTAATAAGTCCTGTAAAACCACAGTTGTTGTTGTTCCACTTTGGTTTTGGTTTGGTCTCATGTCCCCCAAGTAACTTCCGAGATCTGGGAACCCAGCAACATTGCTACAAGTCCAAGAGAGCAAGAAACACGAGCCAAAAGATGGAGTCAGATGATCAGACGGGTTGTAAAAGAAGCCCTTTTATACAGTCCACTTTACTTTGGAGCTAAAACTAAAGAAAGCACACTGTAAATATTGGTAATAATGTCAAGTTGTACAGGAAAACTGTGTGTGTGCACGGCATGTACAGTAGGTCCAAGCTGAACCAAGAGGTCAGTGATTAATTTACCCAAAAGACACTCTGGGAAATAATATTTTAGTTAGTCCTTGTTTTTCTCTTTCAAATAAGTTTAACTAGTGTGGGATTTTATTTATTTTCTCATCTTTGTTGCCCAATTTGACTTCTTGTTATTGATGTAAAGCACTGATATGTACCATTAAATGACAGCCAAAGCTATAAAAAATAAAATCCAAGTAATAAATGGAATTGTTCTTCAACCTTCAACCAACTTGCTGAAGGAATGAGGACTGCCTAAAATGTCCTCACATCTTAAAGTGTCCTCACTCTCAAGATCTAAAATTAAAACTGGCCTTTGTAAAGATAGAAGTACACACACACACACACACACACACACACACACACACACACACTTTTAGTCCCTACAGTATACATAGAGAAATACATGGCATTTTTCAAGACTGTGGGAGGTGATGAGATGAAAAATTACTTTTGAGGAAATGCAAAAAACTTAACCATGGACCATACTTGCATTTTCTCAGACACACACTCACACACAAGGAGATGCAGTCAGGATCCTAATCTCTGTGTGACTGTGGTGTTGAGCACCCTGTGTTCTGAGAGACGAGGAATGTTGGCAGGGATCCTGAGTCTGACCAAACCAGACAGTACACACACACACACCAATTAAGAAAAAAACAGCAATTTCTGAGGAACATCCCTAGTGGGTGAATTACACTCTGGAGGAAGGCGCTGAAGTAATGGCTGGCGGTAACTTTGTACCCTCACTGACCTTTCATCTTTCCTCCAACTTCTTTCCATCTCTATCCTCCCATACCGCCTATTTCTCCACCTTTTCTTTCTCTGTCCTCCTCTCCTTCCTGTCCCATTTTTTTCTGTCATCCTGTCACCTCTTCCCCATTTCCCCCTCTCTTTCCCCTCTCCCTCTTTCCATCCCAGTGCCTCCAGAGAAGCCGGTCAATCTGACCTGCTGGTCCAGGAACACCAAAGACCTGACTTGCAGCTGGGTTCCAGGAGGAAAAGGAGAGACCAACATAAGCACACAGTACACGCTCAAGTACAAACTACGGTATATATACGTACATGTGCACACACACCCTACAGCTACAGTGCAGAAAATCTTTGCAAATCATTCAATCCACCATGGTGTTTGAAAAAACAGCACCAAGAACAGCAACAGCACAAAGGAATGCTAAGTTTGCATTAGCAACTTAGTGCAGCTGTTGTAAGCAAATGAACAATATAGAGTGAGGCTGGTATCAATGAGGTAAAATAAATGAAAACAGTAACCCTGAATTACACATATACTTTGGTTCTAGTGAATTTCTTGTGCATGTAAAGGTCATTTGAATCCTGTGCTGGCAAACAGCCACCAGTTCATCCATGCAGAGAACGGGAGAATAAAGAAACAGCATTGTTCTTGTCTCTCAGAGCAAGCTAGTCGTTGTATTGTGTGCTGAGAAAAAAAATTTTCTTTAGTTGTAAACATAACCTTGTTTGGCTGCTTAGCTTCCATACTTATCCTTATTTTTAAATACTATGCTTGTATTTTTAACAGTCCAAGAAAAAGGGATGTTTAGAACGTGGACTATAACAGATGTGTTTGGCAAATGTAACCTGAGTGTAGCTCGAGTTGCTGGAGTCAAATCCAAAAAGATCAGGGCAATTCTCATCAGTGGACATGTTGGCCATGAATGGGGATTTCTTTTAAATGTCACCTTTTATTCCACTAAATAATGCAGTTAATGTTATCCATCATAATTTGAAGTAATGCTTAGTTACTACTGTACGTAGTAAATTTGTTCGCTGGGCGTGCTAACGATTGCAACAGTAACTACATTGTTTAGTTCGTTCCTACCCTTTTGATTTTGTGTTTTGGTTTTGGCTAGGAAGACACTGCCCTCCAAACTCTTTTGTCAAGTGTAATGTTCTCATTATGGCCCCATGGACACTGCTTCAACATGTGGAGAAATCCAAAGGTTGACAAGCCGGTCATGCCTAGTTACGGTTGCTAGGCTATGATTGGACAATCAGAGAGAAAGGGTTTAGCGAACGGTAAATTGATAGCCTTTCTGAGTAGCCTAACGTTTTCTGAAAATTATAACATGCAGTGACATGTTTTGACTGTGCTATAAGCCTATAAATGAAGGGAGTGAAAACCATGAAAAATCCTACTGTTCAAATGGATTAAACATCTAAGTTGATGAGCCCACTGCAAATGTTTCTATTCAGAATTTAACATATTTCAGTAATTTTTTTTTTTTTTATCATACATGCCTCAAAAAACCCTGGAAACAAGTTAAAGTGGAGCTGGAAACAAGACAACATACCTAATCTCTTTGGCAGATCTTATTTTATGAACAATAACATCAGTGGTAGCCAGAGGGCAAAAGCCTTTCAACGGTAAAAAACGTCAAATTTCATGAGAATTAAGAAAACGAGTTTTCATCTGGGAATGATACATTTTCCAAAAATGAGTTTCAGATGGGGTGTAAGCTCTATTCACATTTTAAAACTAATTAAATCAGGATTTTAAAAACACAAAATGGAAATAACATGCCTGCAGGCATGCCAACTGCATGGAGATGTCTTGGTCAGATAGAGACTTAATAAAACCACTAGTGCCAAATGAATTCGTAACTTATAACACATTATCACACAAATTCTATGCCACATACATTACATTGAGTGCTGTCCATATTTCACTATTTTCTGTTCCCGCCCCCAGGTGGTATGGTAAGGAGAAGGAGTGTGAGGATTACACTCATACGCAGCCTTACTCCTGCAGCATCACCCGGGACCTGCACCTTTTCACGCCCTATGAGATCTGGGTGGAGGCCTCCAACCAGCTGGGCCGGGCTACCTCTGATGTCATCACCCTCGACATCCTAGACGTGGGTGAGTGTGAGAAGTAGTCAACTTTGACCTTCTTTCTTTTACTACCATTGCAGGGCTTAGATCACAGTATCAGTGAGCCCACGGGCTATAATCTGTGACAACAGGTACCGACCTTACAAAGCAGTGTCTACCTGTAACCCCTCATTAGTGAGGTGTTTTGTGATTTTCCCCTCTCAGATTCTTTATTTGTCATTCAAATCCTCATTAGTGTCTTCAAAGCGGTTGCTACAGTAGCACTGGGTTCCACATAACATAATAAATAATTCAACATGACACAGCATCTATGCAGCGGGAGGAGGAGGAACAAAGCAAACAAAAATACCAGCAGAGAAGTGATCTGTCAAATGAACATCTACAAATAACAGATATATGAAACTCATCAATTTTTGTTTAAGTTACTTTCTTATAAAAATCTACTTTTGTTCTGTTTTATATTGGAAAAAGCTCTCTGGGGCAAAGGTTCTTGTTTTGTTTTGTTTTTTTGTCTGCACTGACATGATGTTAACAGGCTAAAATTTTCATGTTAATTCTCATCCAACTAACATAGCTTTTAAAGAACAGTTGAAGGATCGATTTGTTTACCTTAGTCATAGTTAGACACTTTGGGAAAGAAACCCATTTGCTTCCTTGCTGAGAGTTAGATGAGAACATCAATACCACTCACAACTCTGTGTTCAATTTGATGTTAGAGCAGGGAAGCAATTAGCTTAGCATAGCATTAAGACTGTAAGCGGGGGGCAGACACAACTAGACAAGTGGCTGTACAAAGCGTCAAAATATGTCTTCCAGCACCTCTACAGCTCATTAATTAACATGTTGTATCTTGTTTGTATAAGCCATTCAAGAACCTGTGTTACTGTACATGAACAATTAGCGGTTGTTAAGGGGGCTATGTGCCAGACGTCATTCTTGGCTGGAAGCAGTAACTTTAAGTTCGCTCAGAGGGTTTCCACTGTTTATGCTAAGCCAAGTCTCTGAGCTCCAGCTTTGTACTGAATGGACAGGTATGAAAGTGGCATAAGTCTTCTAATGTAACTAAGGACTGATGGAAAAATGGAAAAATGAATGAAGTTTTGGTTTCAATGGATTAACATGCTTAAACTTGCCTGGTGAGCAAATTTGACATGAATGAATGGGGTGACATCAACATCCATGAGACATCCTGGAGTGTTGTCATCACCATAAGGTCAGCAGGCAACCAGCAGGCTTGTTAGAATCCTAAAACAGAAACAACTAATGAGTTTTGGACAAAACTTTCAAAAAGTACACTTTCACATAATTTAATGAAGTGGATTCAGTTTTTTTTTTTATTTTTTTTAAATAATTTAAACCTCACAATGTGCAGTCTAGTACTTTATTTTAAATAAAATTCCAAAAATACCAAATATGTAAAATAAAGTTTAATGTGTGTAAAATGATGCACATCCATGTAAAATATCAACATCCTTTAGTTACTAGTTACTTTACAAAACACAAAGTATTAGCATTAAAACATAAAAGTGCTAAAAGTAAAAGTACTCATTATGAGGATATCATATTATTGGATTATAATTATGGATATATTACATCACATTTAATGCTGCAGCTGGTAAAGCTAGTTTCAACTAGTTTATATTCTTATAATGTGAATTACAGTATGATTATCATTTTTGTATTAATCGTGTTTTGTAAAGTGACTAGTAACTAAAGTTTTAAAGTAAATGTAATGGAATAAAAAGTACAATATTTGCCTCTAAAATGTGGTGAATTCAAAGTATGAAGTAGCACAAAATTAAAATACTCCAGTAAAGTACTTAAACATCAAAATTGCACTTAAGTACAGAACTTGAGTAAATGTACATAGTTACTATTCACAACTGGTAAACATTATGTAGATTCAATGAAGAGCTGGAAAACTGACAGTATATATATATGTGAGTAAGAGAATGATTTGAGCACTTTAAGCTACTAAACTGGTTGACACGCGTTTGTCGTGTCATGACCCCTCAGATGTACCATGCGACCCACAGGTTGGGAAACATGAACGGCTTCCACTTTGGCATCAAATGGGCATCTTTGAAATGTTAAAGAGCATCACTTCTCTGTACATCTTCAGGTTCCTTTATTCCTACTGACAGGACACTGGCTTCAGTTCCGTGCCTCTGACTTCTGAGGAAAGTTGTTCACAAGCCCTCATCTGGCTTCATGCTGATAGGAACTGAGCAGTGTTCCCTTTTAAAGTTGTGCGGTCCGTTACCTATAGTAGTGTGGTTTAACCAAACCGAGCATGCAACCAGACCAAATTCCTCTTTACTCTCACTATGCACAAGAAACACACACACTCCTACATGCACACACCTGGACAGGCACAGGGGCATGACAAATGGAAACGCCTTCTCCTTTGATGAGCTCATTTTCTCTTTAGTCATGCTCACTGGACACACACAGAAACATGGACACGCACACACACACACACACATACACACACACAGAGAGAAAAACATGCACTAAACCCCCTTTTATGTAATGTTGGAATGTTCCAGACTGATCCTTGAACCTAATCCTGTCTATGAGACCGCTGTGAACCCTTGAGGCCTGAGGAGTTTATGCTTTAAGGCTGTAGGGCTCGGACCTGAAATAATACAACCTGATTAGCTTGAAACTCGCATCTGGGTGGCTCTTAACACACGCCTAAATGTGTCAGGGAGATTACAGAGAGACTGACATATGGAGTTTCAGAGGTGAACACATCACTGGCGAGGACACAGGCGTCCTTCAGAATGTAATCTCTTTCAGTTCCCTAATGTATGCACACACGCACACACCTGTTTACACACCCTGAAGGCAGGGCAAGGCCTGGTAACAGTATAGAAACAGAGAGGCACACTAACTGAAGGCGGTTTTTGCACGTGTGTGTGTGTGTGTGTGTTTGGGTGTGTGTTTTGTTTCACTCATGTTGCCCAGGCCGCGCTTTTCAGTCTAGTAGTTTTCACAGCAGCAGGTCATAAAACACAGCAACCACACCTGGGTGCTGGAGCTGCTGTGAGTCACGCGTCTACGGTCATGTCCAATCAGTTATGAAGGCGAGGCGGAAACACCTACAGTTTTCCTTGCATTCCTCAGTCACGGGGGAACCCTCGTTGTTTCACTCTGGAGATGAGGATGTGTTGAGGAATGACGCAACATGTTAACCGTGATTCATTTCTAATTTGTCATGTTTCATTGACTTTTATTGCCAAATGCATATAATGTATAGGAGTAGCACATTTGCTCTCATCAGAAGACAAATAATTTTACTTCTTTATTACAAGTACTATTAAAAAAACTATTCTGCTGAAGTCAAGAGAGGCTATGGTTGTAATAATTGTATTTTATCTGTTATCTTGAGATCATAGGTTAATTATTTTATTATCTGGAGATATCTTGGGTGCTTTGTAATAATGGGATTTTTAATAAAATAAGAATGCTGTGATAGAATATCTTAGTATCTTAAAATAATAATGAAACTGAAAATATTTGAATGCTATTTAAACTTAAAACAGCTGAACAAATAACACATAATTATGAAACCTGTTATCAGTATCCTGCTTTATATACTGTACATCTTTACTACAAAGAGCCCTGTCATTTTGTGTAATTCTAGCTATTTTAATTGGCTGTAAACAAAAATATAGATTCAGCGATTTTTATTTTATTTATTTTTTAAATTGTGAAGTGTTTTTTATAGCCCCGAGTCTTGCCTCTCAGGGTACAGGTGCTCTTGTAGCCTGAGAGGCAAAACACAGGGCAGAGAAAGTCAATTAAACACTTGGGAGGCTTAATCGCTGTGAACTCAAGAACCCAGATGAGCATTTTTATTTTTCTTTTCGACTAGAACAAAGGACTGTTTAGAGAGAGTTTAGTGAGCAAAACAAACAGAAACTGGAAAAATACAGGAGAATAAACCATAATTTTGAAATGTGAGGAGGCCATGCGACCTCCAGGGTCATGTAGAAATCCTATGCAAATGAGTTTGTCATCCCAAGATAACCAAAAACAATTTAACACAGAAAATTAAATTCAAATAAATTAATTAATAAAACAAAATTAATAACATTATTTTAACCATAGTTGTTTTCAACTTCTGCACCAATATAAACTTAGAGTATTTTACTTTCTTTCTGTTTTTCCTAATTTAATATTTTCTCTGCTTGTCTTTGTAGTATATCCACGGTACCTTTACAAAAAGTTTCTTCACTCTCTACTTTCATGTTAAAAATAAATATTTTTCTAAGAGGAATGATTGCCACCATTGGGTTTATACTTTTTTAATTCACCCCCGGGTACCGTCTGAATCAACTGGAGAGTCCCCAGTTCCTGGCAACCAGAAACAAATACTCTCAAACCTTTGTGTCAACTCCCGTTTTTTCCATTCACTAAATCTTTCCCATCTTCTTCGTTCCCCTGGGTCGTCTTGTTTGTTTACTGGTAATGCATGACATTATGAAAATGAATTGAATCTGATATTGAAATGATCTCAAGAGCCCAAAACAAAATGTGAGGGCAGTTAAAATAATGGTCTGTCATCGCATTTTTGTTTGTTGAAAGGGAAATAGTTTTCAGATGAAAAACACCCCTCCAGCTCGTACAAGTCTTCAGAAACTAGAAGGCACTTGAAGTCATCTGCAAACCTCCACCAATGCCGAACGATCCTTCAACGTGCTGTTACATATAGAGACATCACTCGTGCTATGTTAAATTAGGATTGAATGGATTTCTTGACCCGGCAACACAAACTTAAAATGTAGAGAGAAGGCCTTAGGTTCTGAATAATTGTAGCCATGGCTAGAAATCTTATTCTGGACCAGCTGTCCACCAGAAGTTTATCATTAGGTTCTTAGCATACAAATAAACTTGCTAATGGATGTAATAAATAAAAAAAAAAAATACCCCAGTTGTGCCTCTCATGAAATCATTAAACATGTGAGATTTTGTACTGATTATATTACAGTCAAACATGCAAACCACTGTTTTCAGATATTTTAAACCTCTCCAGAGCTGATTTAATCAATGATTTAGATTAACAATGGATCAAGTCATAGTTTTAAATGTGAAACCAGTTGCTCATAGTGACAAAGCAACAATGAATTATAACTTGATTTTATAGTCACCCTCAACTCTCAGAGCATTGTAGCATCTTTCAGCTCATTGCTTTGATTTTAGAGATTTTTGATTTTACATCTTTACTGTTTTGGTTCACTGTCAGTGCCCTTGTCAGCCTTGTTTCCAGTCAAAGAAGGAAACCGATCATGGTATTCTGTCCAGGACCAAATAGCAGAACGACACAGTTAGCAGCTGGCTAGTGAGCATAGCAGCTGAAGAGCTCAGGAGACCAAAACAAAGCCAAAAGGAGAGTAAACACAAGACAGAAACGCAACTCTGAGTGAATGTTAATGTCTGACTGTGTGTATTGCATGTGTACATATGTTTGCCATAAAACCATTTTACCAGAGGATAAAATGTTAATGTTGTGCTTAGAGCTTGTTTAGCCATATACAAGCAAATAATTCTGTTTTAAAAAATCAATTTTTCCGGTTTATATGCAAAAATATGCCACTTTGGTGTAAATTATCGGCAGTAACTGGGAGCAGATCACAGTCAGAACATAATGAAGTTAATGCAGTTCATTGTTATTGTCGTGATCTCTTAATTTCTCAGTTGATTGTTCAATCATTTGGTTTATAACGTGCCAAAAATGTGAAAAATGACATTTTCCCAGCAACACTCAAAAACCCAGAGACTGAAGACAAATAAAAACAAGAAATATTCACATTTGAAGGAGTTGATTTTTGGCACCATTGATGAGATCCTCTAACTTACAGTAATAACCGCCTCAATCTCTTCTTCTTCCAGTGACCACGGACCCTCCGTCAGGTGTGACTGTGAGCCGTGTAGGGCAGTTGGAGGACCAGCTGAGTGTTCGCTGGGAAGCTCCGCCCGCTCTCAAAGACTTCCTGTTTCAGGCCAAATACCAGATCCGCTACAGACTGGAGGACAGTCAAGACTGGAAGGTAACAAGGACACACAGCTGTAAGGACATACATTTGTTCTGTTTGTCTCTCACTCTGAAACAGATCTATATCATTTCAGCACTGTACCAGCTGTTTCTCATCCTAATGCTGTAATCACCTCTAATCGGGTCTGATTGAAGCCTCCTCTGCCAGATGAGTTAATAGTTGGGCCGGTGAAGAACTTTCATCAGTCATAAATCTAGTAGTTAGGTTTGGATCGGGAGAAAAATCCAGGCCAGGGCCACTGTGTATACCTTTAGTCAGAATTTTAATGAATGAAAAATATAGCACAAAACCTTCAGCAATGCAGATG